AGATAAAGCCATGCATGCTGCAGAAGAGAACAAACAGAAGAGTAATCACAGAGGGAAGCCAGAGGGTAGAGACAAAAGATAACAAGAAAGAAAGAAAGAAATGAGTGGGAAGTTATCAAAGACAAAAGATATGAAGGGAAATAACATACCATAGATGGGGAAATAAACAGAAAAGACAGAAACAGAAGAAAGATATACACAGGAAACCCTTCCTGCCAGAAACTGCTTCTTAGCAAACTCAGACAAGAAACACTGCCAAAAGAAGAGCTGAATCAAGCATGAAAAGTTCAGATCACCTGAAGCTTCTGAAGGCAGATGAAAGAAACTACATTAAAATATGGATCAGTGAGCTTATGAGGATTTCATCCCAGAGTACACTTGCACTGTTCTGCTGTAAGAGAAAAATAACTTCTCTGGTTCAATAATAGTTTCACTCACCTACTTGCAGAAGAACTGGTCTCACTTATGAAATAACACTAATTGACTAGGTACTAATTATTAAGGAGAATTCAGGATCAAGTTCAGTAACTGCTTTTAAAGTTCATTAGTCTGCGTTGCACTCTCTGCAGTACCGAAAAGCATGAGAGAACTACTCCATTCAAAGCACAGAAAAAAAGATCCCTTCCTGCTGCCTCTCCTGGCACACAGAGACACATACCAAGGTGTTTTAGACAAAGGATTAGATAACAGGACTGTAACACTTGGCAAGTAGTCAAGCACAGTCCAGTCTGGCTTTAACTCTGCACTTCTGCTTTGTTTGAAATGCATCTTTTTGTACCACCCAGTACTAGCACATCATTCTTGACAGAGAACAAGGATGACCATGAATCCACTGTGCAAGATAGCTGTAGTGCACCCTCTGCTCAGAGAATGGCAAAAAGGCAAAACAGAAATCTAAGCTTGTCTAGTCTGAAGATGAAAAAGACAGACAAAAAAACTAATAATGAAAGGGACTTCTATCCTACATCATCAGTGATTACCAACTGCTTAATTTAGTCACTGATATCATGAAGAAACCTTTTCTTGCTTTCTTAGGTTATCATAAGTATCTCATAGCATGCTGCTGGCTCCACCACAAAAACTTCAATCATCACAATTTATATACCAGCAAAGGATGAGTGACCAACACAGAAACACAAAATTGTCCCATCCTTACACTTCGCTTGCACTGCCAATTTTCTATAGTCTACTGTTCCAAAACAAGGGTGTGGAACCTTCTCACAGACTATCTATCTTAAGGTATTTAAGATTAAAAATTGACTCATATTCAAGAATAAGATACCAAAGATACATCCTATTTTTTAAAAAATACATAAAAACGCATACATTTGATTTGCTATTTCTCTTAAGACAGATGTACCTGTTTCTTAAAATGTTTGTTACATTTTTGGTTAGTTGGTGCTAAAATTTCTTTTGCTATTACTACTGCAATGTATAACTGACTTTGTGCTGATTAGACATCACATGTTGAAACATTCACGAGGAAGTAAGAACAGGGCTCACTCACAGCTCAACCAGGGGTTACGTGGTTGACATACGGTCAGTGTTTCACTGGCTCAGTCACAGGTGAAGACAGACTCAGAAATTGTATCTCAAGTTTCTCCTACAAGTCCTCAAAATTCCGTCATAGAGATGATGTCTTCTAACATCCCAAAGGGGAACAAATACTTGCTGTGCACATACACCCTTGGATGGAGGTTGCCATTGTAGACTTCCTGAAGTCATAAAAGCTGAACACTTCAACTGCTCAAATTCTCATATATGCAAACAATCTTCTCCCTAGCCCAAGCAAAACCGGAAAAGTTTCCATTTCTAGTTCCCACTTACCAGTGTTCCACTGGTTTTTGCCCTCTTGCACCATGGCTTCCTCTTTCTGCAGCTGATTACAAATTATATATATTTTGTATTTGCAAAAACAATCTACATGCATAAATATTTAAATTTTTTTTATAAATTTAAAAAATGAGCCAGTTCAGCTAGCTGATGGTAAGCAATTAATTTGTTAAACTCAATGAAGCAACACTGATTTACTCCCTAAGAACCAAGCCCTAGATATAATACCCATATGCAAGCTAAAATTTATCAAGCTGAACTTCTGGGGTTTACATGATGAGGAAGTGAAGGCACTGGAGGCAGCCCATGTTCCTCACTCTGGTCTCTCCCCCCAAGGCACTAGAGGATACAAGTGCTGCAATCTGTACCGTGTCAGTGGGCAACAAAGACGGAGAAAGGCCTAAAGAACAAGAGCAGCTGAGGGAACTGGGGCTATTTAGCCTTAAGAAAAGGAGGCTGAGGGGAGACTTTATTGCTCTCTACAACTACCCGAGAGGACATTGTAGAGAGGTAGGTCCTGGCCTCTTCTCACAGGTAATTTAAGATAGAACAAGAGGGAACGGACTCAAGCTGCACCAGGGTAGGTTTAGACTAGACATTAGGAAAAATTTTTTCCTCAAAAGGGTTGTCAGACATTGGAATAGGCTGCCCAGGGAGGTGGTTGAGTCACCATCCCTTAATGTGTTTAAAGGTCGTTTAGATGTGGTGCTTGGAGATAGGGTTTACGGGTGCACTTGGTAGAGCAGAGTTGATGGTTGGACTTGATGATCTCAAGGGTCTGTTCCAACCTGAATTATTCTATGATTCTGTGACACTCATGTCGAAAGACGAAAGGAGGAAGAAGAGACTGTAGGGTTGATAAGACCAAACTTCCTGGGCTGGAAGGAGAGAGATTATCTCATTCTCTTCAACTTTTGTACCTGAATTAAAGCCAGAGTCATGTACAGTCTCCCAGCACGATCAAACTGGCGGTATAGGGCTCATGGAAGACAAACATGTCTACATGCAGGGTACTAAAATCCTGCCAAACTTATTCATAAGATTTAATACTGATTTTTAGACCAGTATCACAAAAGATCTGATCATTATCCAACACAATAATCCCTACTTACACTATAAGACAACTGATGGCCCTTTCTCTCAAATATATATCCATACATACACCTCAAGCATCAGGAAGTGCACGCTCAAGCAAGTTCCCAAGTAAGCCTAAAGGTTTCTAACTCAGATCTTCTATGCCATTCCTTCACAGTGCACTTGAATCCACACTGGCAGCTCAACAAAGGCAGTGGATTTACACTAGGAAACATGTCAGTGAAATATCAGAAGAAGAGACATGGACCCAGACCACTGGTTTTCATGATGTAGAACCTTAGTTGTAAGAAAATGTTCTAAGTCAATGCTGCTCATTCCAGAACTATTTATTTCACTAGATCAGGTACACAGGATGTGCCTGTGTGTTCCCTTATTGGGCTTAAACCTGTCCCAGCACCTGAAAGTACACTGTCAGGATACATTCTGTTCTTTGACCAAACAGTGGAATTGCCTAACATCAGTATAAACAGGATGCAAATTTAAATGGGAATTTGAGAGAATTTAAATGGCCAAGTAAAATTTATATACATATAATTGGGGGTGTTCAAGACCCTTTCTACTTAAAATGGATAACGATCTCTTAAGGATCTCTAGAAAAACAACATGTAATTTATTTTTGCTTAGACTAACCTGGCCACATCAGATTAAAAAAAAGAAAAAACATCAGGGATAAAAAGATCCATTTCTCCCTAAATACTAGTGCACTGTAGAATTAGGTCAGAAATACCAGACATTAGCCTAACAAAACTAATGCTAAAAACCATTTCTTTCAAAATGATTAGCCTCTGACACAAGTAACTGCTTTACCCTTTTCATGTAATGCTTTATGAAATTAGTTATTAGCAGATCTCTTGGTGGATTGACAGCTATGGAGATTTGTGCCCTGAATTTCTCAGAGAAAAAAAAAAAAAAAAAAAAAAAAAAAAAAGAGAGAGATAAAGACTGTTGGTTGGCTAGATACACAGCTGCATAAATCGTTCTTTACATTGACCTGAATTATTCTGCCTTTCACCAGCATTTTTTATTGTCCATATTTGCTTAAGTTTGATAAACAAAAAATATATAAAATGGGTCATATGCACAGAATAATTACTTTCAGTAAAATAAACAAGCTTACACACCACAAATCACACAAACATGTTCATAAATAGAAGACCTCCTATCAACCTAAATTTTCTGGGTAAATTAATACAAAATTACCTACTGACTGGTATCCAATTCTTTATTTCAGGAACACACTTCTCTTTTCCCCCAGCAAAAAGTCACATGTGGATTTTGAGTGCACAGGACCTCCTAACTCCACTATTTCAAGAGGCTGTTTAATATAAACAATGGAATTACTGTGATGTAATGCAGTAATTCCCTTGAGTATGATAGCCTTTCTAAGTTTTAATAGACAATTAAAACAACATTAATTTTCATGATACAATTTCAAGCACAATGCTAGTATACTATTTTCAAAGAAATACATCTCTACACACTTACTGCAGTACCATCCCTTTTTTTGAAAGGCCACTTACACCAGCAGTAACTGCTTTTGAAATTCACATTGATGTTCTTACCACTTTAAAAAGTATTAGTGTCAAATTTCCCATCTTCTCATTAAAAACTAAAATATCTAGTAAAATACACAGCTAAATAACACCATTAAAAACTGAAAACAGACTAGACAAGTTAACTGGGAAAGGCAATTGAAACAAGTGTCATAAACACAGTAACAGCTAGTAAACATTTTTAATCAACACAAGAAATAGAAATTCAAATTAAAGTTTTTATACCGCACAAATACACATCTACATGAAGCAGCCTATTAATGTACATTCCCCTCCAAAGAATTTCACTGCTGAAAAATCTCATTTTAAACATGACAGAGGAGCACATACTAAAACTGAAAAAAACCCACCCAAGACAATTCCACATACATTGTATTTTAAAGTATCACTATATACCAATTTTATTTTTTTACTAAAATTATCTATACTTAACACAGTCTTAAATACTAGCAGCTAATAATGACCATCAAGTTAAAAGTATAGCAAACGAATATGAAATGAAAACTCAAGAGTACTCACCAAATTGTGATTAGTTGAATTAGAATCATCTTCTGGGAATGGGATGTAAACAGCTAAGGCCACACAATTGGCAAAAATAGACAGTAGTATAAATATGTCAAATGGTCTGGAAAATCTTGTTAAGGAACTTGTGAATTATGAGTATCTACAAACTTTTAAGTCTAGTTCTCCTTTCAGCATCACCACTTGTAAAGCAAGTCTTACTTTTAAGGCAATCTTTTGACTGATAACTGTGACAAACACTTCATCACCTTTAGTTATCGCACTACACTGTATTATTTTCCATCACAGTGATCTTTCAACATCCTCTTCTTTTTGATAAAGAGAAAGCTATTACTCTTGCTGCCACAGAGCACTTTATATTAAATTCCAGAGATGAATATAATTATACAGTCTTAAATCAATATATGGGTCATCATGATGGGTAAGGAATACTTACTGAGCTGTTCTGTTCTCATATGCTCACATAAATCTCATTAATATTAACAGAAATGTGTTTGCCAAAGCAGGAAAATCATTTGGGACCTAGTTTGTAGTAGGATATGAGAAATATTCCCAGCAAATCACAACTGTTCTCCTTTACGAGAGCTGGAAAGCTGTACAACGGACACAGGAAAATTCTGAGCCCCTCTTCATGTGCCTGACAGCTGGATTCCTCAATCATTTTGCTTTGGCCAGGACAGATGAAGGTTTAGGTAAGTGGACTGGGGAATAGAATATCATTACTGGCTTGGCAGCCCCATGTACACAGAGACTATAGCCTTTCACACTGACAATAGCATGAATTGCAGCTACGCTTTTTATACCATATCTGGATGACAGCCGCTGAAACCTGGAGATATTTTTCCTTCTGGAAGACAAAAGGTATTTCTTAAAATTCATGCCTGTGAAGTTCATCCTTCAGTTTATCATTAATTTGCCTTTCCCCCAAAGTATTTAATTATTTTCTTATAACTACAAACATGAGGGTACCCGGGTGAATCTACTTGTGGAAGTTTGGAAAGGGAAGTTTTGGGCTTTAACTATTCTTTTTGACATCCTTCCCTCAATTTAATACACAACTTCCTGATATATGTCCATAAGAGTCCCATAAAAGACTGAGGGAAGACCACCGAATATACTCAAAAGCATATTTTTGTCAGTTTAAAATATTTTTCCTGGAAGAAAAAACAACCCTACAAAGCCCATATGCTCCTTAAGATCTGTTAAATTTTGATTGTTGGCTTATAACAGCTTGTCACCTCAAGGGCTGAGTTTATGTTCACAAAGCCTATCAACATCAACAGCTGCTACCTTGCGTACAAAACACAGTTACAACACACAGCATGCAGCATTCTCCAGACTGAAATGAACAAATGATACCAGCACAAGACTGACAAGCTTGGTTTATGATGTAGTGCTACTGGGACAAATTCTGCCCTGAGTTATTCCACTCTAGATCCACTGTAATTTCATTTAACCGACTTTAGCCAAGAAGAGGCCAATTTACTGAAATGAGTTGGACTTGTACCAGCTTAAATGAAAGCAGAATCTTTAATTTGCAATTGAATTGTGTTCAAAGAATTGGGAAAAAAAAAAAAAAAAAAAAAGAGAAAAAAAAAAAAAAAAAAAAAAAAAAAAAAAAAAAAAAACCCAAAAAAACCCCAATAACAACAACAAGGTATTGCCAGGTTGGCTGTTCTGTTTAAAGTAACAAAATGAGTTTTACTTCAGCAATCTACTCTCTTGAACAGCTGCTTCCCATTACAGGGATGTTGCCATGGCTAATAGGCAAACATTTTCTCCTCCTACCTCAACAAAACTATTTTCTATTTCAAACCTTTTCTTGAGAATTAAATAATACACCAAATCAACATGCTATCAGTTCTGCCAAAGAAATCCACATACTTCCACATCACAACCACTGAACTAAAGATAAAGCAATCTGGGACATGTATGCTGGGACAGCACGAACACAGGCCAGTGTATCTGAGCTCCTGTCTTCAGCTGCACGTGCTACAAGATACCATTGGTAGTAGACACATGTTGTAAAAGTTCAGAAGATCAGTATATTTCAGACATTTGTATGTACTTAGAGTCCTTGGCTTAACCAAAAATCTTCCCTACTTTCAGTACTTGGAAAATTAATCTTTTTTAGAAGATTTCTACATCTGACTCATTTTCCCTAGTGACAATACACCAAGTTGCAATATGGAAGATACACGTTTGACATATCAGGTCATCTCCCCATTAACACCACTAGATGCACTCATATCCATTCAGCCTTAATTTGGAAGGGCAACAAATGTAATACAGATATTTGCTGGAACACCATATAAGCTTGTAAATTTAAAGAGTTCTGAAATTGTTCCCCCATCTCTTCCAAGAAAAAAGGAACAGCTATGAGCTTTTCTCCAATTTTGAACTACTTACTTCAGTAAAATGATATTCTGTGTCATTATGACACAAATTAAGAGGCTATCTTTAACAGCAATTTAAGCAAAATTAACTACTATCAACATTAATGACAGTTACCCGCATGTGCAAGTGAACTAATGCGTTAGCTGTGATGCTGTACGGGATGCTGTAAAACAACCCCCTTGATACATTCAGAAAACGCAAAGAACAGATTGTAAAAAAGGAAACTGCATCAAAGGATACTTCCATTCTACTAGACTAATGCAGGCTCTTCGTATTGGGTTGTTGAGGGATAAACAGAAAAGTGCACGGGGTGGCCGACTATTAGACGTATTACCCTGTTTTTTGCTCTTGGCATATTGCTGGCGTTTTCTTTGGGACAGAGATCCTACAGGCTGGGCTGTGGTGGTACTCATATTTTGGGCAGCCTTTGCTTGTCTAGCAGCATCAATTGCAGCTTGCCAAGATAGAACAGTTTGCTTGGATGGTGCTGAACTGTTTGACTGAATAGCTGGTCCGTCACCAGGGAGAGGAATTCTGGTGCTACTTGCATAGTTCGCCTCTGCGTGACAAAAGAAAAAAGTACTTGGTTATAATATTTTTTATGCTAAAATGTGTCACAATATTTCTGACAAAAAGATTATTTTAAGACCTCTTGGCAATGTGATGCTTCCATTACTTATACTACAGAGCACAACTGTACGCATATATAGATACAGATGTGACTGAACAGTAGCAAAAACCACTCTGGAATCAGTATTATAACTTCAAGCTTAACGCAAGTATCAAGACACAAACACTTCACATTTTGATTCTTCCACTGACTGTATTTTTTCCTCACTGGATGGTAGGTTTCCCGTCACCATGTTTATCCAATAAAACATAGCTACTCCTTAAGATCAAATTTGCTTTAGTAACTTTTTACTATTTCCTCACTTCATTTTGGTCAGAAAAGTAGTTGTTTAAAATTCTTACAGATTGTTCAATTAAGACTAACCCCCACTGGGGAGGGGGAAGTGCTGTAAGCAAGTCAAATCTTGCCCTGTTCTGCAATCTCAAAGAGAAAAGCATGGATGCCATCCGCAAATGAAAAATCAAATACTGTCAGCCAATAAGCATGTTCATAAAGCACAGGTATATTTCACACTAGAAATTACAACTGTGAAACCACCGTAAAGGGATTGGGTTTACATCTTCACAAGGGTTTAAAAAATAAACTGCACCTTCCAAACAATAACAAAGTCCTCTTTGTACAGATGACAGCAAAGCAGTCAAATGCCACCTCCTCACAAGGATCTTTCCTTGTGAGCTCTTTGACTAGAGCAACAGAGTCTACTCCTACACGCACCTGTAGGAAGGAGAGACTCCGAAGTGAAATTCAAAACTTGCCTGGGTGGGGAAAAAAATGGAGGAACGGCACAATATTCTCGCTGGGAATTGGGGCTGGCGGGATGACTGGGAGATGGATCTACCCAGGCAGGAGAGGAAAGCAGCTCCCCAAGCAGAGGAGCCACAAGCAG